TGAGGTCCCCGCCAGGGCCCGCAGCCATGGACTCCGCCGCGCACCTCCTGACCAGGCCCACCGCCCGCGCGGCCACCGCCGGGCCCCCCAGAGATGTGCCCTGGACTATCTGGCGAGTCACTGCGTCCTACTTTTCCCGGGACAGTGACATCACGGAAACGCCGCATCCCACCAGAGCGCAGTAAGAGCCCGGCCTGCTGCCAGGCACGGTGGGTCCGTTCCAGGAGGCCGGGCCAGGGCCTGCGGTGTGACCAGACAGCGGAGCACACACCACAGTGGGCGCCGCTGTCTGCGCGCGGGATGCAGCCGTGGCCCGGCTGTGAAGCGGCTGCCCCCGCAGGAGCTGGCCCTGGCTGGACCACCGGCCAGGAAGGGCTCCGGAGTCGCCGCCATTAGGGCGGGGCCTCCCTGCAGGCCCAGAGCCACGCTGCGTCCACCCGGCTCTCCCCTCACCCGCCCCCGGCCCGTGTCCTTAGGAAAGCAGAGTTGGACACCTCGGCCCTCGGCCTCAGAGGCCAGCGAGGACAGAGGGCCCACGGGCACTGGCCAGGCTGTGGTGCGGCGATCCTGGCGCTGCCTTCCAGTCGCCCACACACCGGCCCGAGGCACACCCCCGGGCAGTGGGCGGCTGGCAGGAAGGCCAGGGCTGTGCACAGCCTGTGGCCAAGTCCCCCCGATCTGATTCTGAATCTACAGTGAACCAAGACTGGACTTTGCACTTTTTAAAGAGTTGCTTAAAAAACAGAAGGCGGGACAGAGCTCACGTCACCCCTCAGGGAGCCTGGCCACAGGGCATCCTGCACCGGCCCGGGCCCCGCACAGAGACCCCCCAGACCCAGCCGGGCAAGGCCGCAGACGTACCTCTCCGTAGTGAAGGTGAAGCCGATGAAGGGCAGGTGCAGCCCAGAGAAGCCCGCGTGAGAGCTCGGGGGCAGCATCTCCTGCACGGCACAATGCTACGGTTACTCCACAGGCCACGGGAGCAGACGCCCCCGCCCCGGGGCTGGGCCCAGCCCAACCCACCAGGGCACGCACGGCCCCGCAGGGGATGTGGGCAGAAAGGGGGTGGAGCCCGACAGCAAACCCCTCCCGCTCGGCTTGTTACGGCCTCTTCTCGACCTGCCACCCTTACTCCGAACACAAAGCTCGGGGACTTCAGCTCGGTGGAGAGCCCAATGTGGGATGCGGAAGGGGGCCTTCAGCGGTGACTGCTTTGCCTCCGAGTCTCCCCTAAAGCTCAGCCTGACCTCAGTGACAAGTCCTCTGTGCGAAGTATGCGAGGTGCTACCTCCTTGCTCAAACCTGTTTCCTCAGCCCGAGCGAGCCGTGGCGCGGGTAAGGTCTGCTGAGGCCACAGTGGCCTCGCCAGAGCCAGCTCCGGGGCCGCAGGCCCTGTGGGGCCCTGGGACCAGGTCTGACACAGAGACCCGTCCATGGTCCCTGCTGAAGGACACACAGGCCCCTCAGGGACATGGCCAGCGGGGCTAAAGTCACGTCCGCAGGCCCCTCCTGCCCTGAAGCCCCAGCTGGTGGCGGGCTGGAAAGCATTTCCGAGGCGTCCACGAACAGAAGAGGCCCCTGACCTGACTCGCTAACCTGTTATCTGTGCACAGGGGGACACGAAGCCCATGCCGAAGGCTGGGGGGGCGTTTTCCTTAAACAGCGTCATTTCTCCAAGATCAGAACGGTCCTAATACAGGTCACCTTGACAAGCAGCTGGGGGGGGCTCTGCTGGGGGTGAGAGCGTGCTCACCAGGGGCCTCTCACTGGGATTGGGGGGCTCCTGCTGGAGGTGAGGGTGTGCTCTCACCGGGTGGGGGGCTCTTGCTGGGGGTGAGGGCGTGCTCTTGTGGGGGACACTCACGGCATTCCTCAGCATGTCGTCATCCACATCGAAGTTGGACGTGTCGGAGGGGCTGCTCACGTCGGGGATGTACGGTGCCTCGAGGTCGCGAATGTTCTCCCAGTTCAGGCCTTGGAAGAACGCGTGCTTTTTGAAGTCCTCGATCCCGTTCTGGCCCAGCCGGCGCTCTCGGCTACAGATGAGCCTCTGGATGAGGTCCTTGGCTTCCTCAGACACGTCGGTGATGTGGGCGGGGAACTGAAATCTCTCCTGGAGCAGGGGTGAGGGATAAGAAGTCAGAGTTCATGGGCCTCGCTGGACGCCACTGGAACCGGCAGCCCAGACCCCACTTGCCAGCCACAACCCGCAAAACTGGCTCCAGTGGCGAGTGAGGGAAGCGTGGCCCTGCCAGCTCGTGCAGGGCCGTCACGCCATGACACGTCTTCACCGCAAGCAGCAGCGCGGACCCCGGGGGCAGGACGGTGGGCACGGCCCGCGGAGAGCACGCGGCTGCGTCCCACAGCGCCACGCCAGAAACCCACCAGAGTGTCACAGAGCGGACAGGCGGCTCACCCGAGGGCAGACATTCTAGCCCGGAAACTGCAACTAACTAAGGGCTGAGCGAGGAGGCGCTTGCTTCACAGGGGCAGTAACAGAGACACGGCCGCCTCGGGCTCTGGGCAGAGATGCCAGAAATACGCCGGTGAGCAGCTGTGCTGCCACGCATGTGCCTGCACCCCGCCCACCCCACGCATGGTGCTGGGAACAGGCTGGGCGCTGACCACCACGCCGCTCAGCAGCGCTGACGACCTGCCCTGTGGGTGGACGGTCTCCACCACCCGGGCCAGTTCCGGCCCCGTCCATGTTTTAATTTACAGGTGAGAAATATTTCTGCTTTGAGAAAAGCGCTTTTTGGAAAGTCAGCTTGCTTTGGTTGGCACTAAACAGGAGCTCCCCTGCTCCCTGCTTGAGCAGTGGCAGGGGCCAGCACACGGCAGGGCTCGCCCACAAGCAGCGGGCAGCCTGGCGCCAGCAGGCTCGCTAAAGAGAATAAAGGGGAGACGGAAGACTTGAACTGAGGCTAGGAAAGGAGAGGAGGAAGAGGAAAGGGAAAGGCGGGGGGGGGGACGGAAGGCAGGCGGCGGGGTGGGACGGCAGCGGAGCGGAGCGCGGGCAGGGCCAGGACACACAGCAGGCCTGGCAGTCCTGGGTAAGGCGCCCTCTGCCGGACAGTGGCCTCAGCGCAGCAAGTGGGCGACTGAGCTGGCACCTCACGGTGGGGGCATGTGGCTGCCCTCCGGCCACCAGCTCCTCCTCTCGCGGGGCTCCGACACCGGCCGCCCAGGGGCGACCCCCGGCCCCGCACCCGGCCACCCCGGAGCCGCAGGCCGTACTTCGTGGTTCATGATCTTCCCGTAGGTCTCCACGAGGGACTCGGCGTAGAAGGGGGTCTCGCCGTAGAGCATCTCGTACATGCAGACGCCCAGCGACCACCAATCGCACTCGGGGCCGTACTTGCCCATGCCGTCCTCCATCGCCTGCAGGATCTCCGGGGAGATGTAGTCGGGAGTGCCCACGGCCACGGAGGACTGGACCTGGGGAGACCAATATCCTAAATCGGGCATTTCTAGTTTCTCTAAAACAGGTCAGCACGGAGCACAGAGGGAAGCTGGCCCGGGGTGTGACCTAGAGCCTGAAAGCAGATGCAGACAGAGGCCCTCGCAGCTGGACGCACTGAGCAGGGCCCGCCAGCCCATGGACAGCCCCTGCGGCGCGCCCCACACCGCGGCAGGCCCCCGAGCGCCCACGACCGCGGAGGGCGGGGCCCTGGGGCGCCGGGGCCTGACGCCAGCCAGCAGCTGCGCTGCTCACCCTCGGGCTCCCCACGGGTGGCCTGGGCGCAGGCCCAGGCACGAGCGGGGTCCAGAGTGGAAGCTGGCACCCTCAAGGGGAGGAGGGGCTCGTGGACAGGGCCTGAGCACAGGGCCACCTTGACAGCTGGCTGCGGCCAGACGGACGGCGCAGCTCAGCGCATGGCGAGCCCAGGTTGCCTGAGGAGTCTGCGGCCAAGGCCGGCCGGGGCAAGCAGGGCCCCAAGACGGCCCGCCCCTTTGGGCCCCTCTGGGCGGGGGGCACGGGGTCCTGGGCGGCCGCTGTCCAGCGGGCGGCTCGCCGCCCCTGGCGACCCTGGCCGCGGCCAGCAGGGCCCGGAGCGCGGTGCCGTTTCAGCTGCCTCCTAAACACACCGTCCTCAAGTGCGGATTACAGACCTAGCTTCTACACGGCACCTTCAGCCGACACACAAGCCCTGCTAACGGAAGCAGAACCGAACAGACACGCCCCAGGGAAAATACCTACAGTTCCGTCACCACTCATCTTCAAACACGACCCGAAGTCGGCCAGGCGGATGTGACCGTTCACGTCCAGGAGGACGTTGTCGGGTTTGATGTCTCTGCGGGTGAAAGACAGACGCGGATTACCCGTCCCCAGCACCGCTCCTGGCGCCGCAGCCCGAGCCGCCCGTGGACCCGCTGAGGAGACGTGACGGCCTCTCACAGGCAGTGCCCAGCGCCTTCTGGGGGACGCGGGGCACCACCAGCCCAGGCCGCCAGGGCACCCTGCTGTGCTGGCCCCGCCAGCTGAGCTGGGCACCTCCAGGGGTCGGGAGGGGCCGGGGCGCAGAGACCCGAGGCCAGGCGGGGAGACGCGGGCCGAGGCCGGGGCAGGACTCAGAGCCACGTGCCAGAGCTCTCTGCAGACACCGGGCCTCGGGTCAAGGAGCCCACCCTGGGCACCCCGGCCAGCAGCGAGCCGGCCGCGCCAAGCCGGGCTGACCCCCTCGCTGTCCTCTAACACCAGTGCGGTCAGAGAAGAAAGGCCAAGCGTGACCCGTCACCATTCCAGATGGACAGCAGAGACAGGTTGGGAGACGGCCCACGGGGGAGGCCCTCTGGGAAAGGCCGCCGACCACCGGCAGGATCCACGGGCGGCCAGGCCGGGCAGGAGGAGCAGCCCCATATCCTGCAGCCCCCCGCCAGTGTGGCCGCCCGTGGGCTGGGGGCCGGAGACGGCGCGAACGGGAGCAGCGCTGCGGCGGCCGGGCCTGGGCGTAGCGGGCGGCGAGCGGGGTGCCGGCCTCGCTGCTCCACGGCCCGGCACGGGCCGCTGCTGGCTCTAACAGCCTTGCACAGGCCGGGCCCACACACTGGCCCCCTGGACAGCACCCCGGGGCGGGCAGCGGTCTCCCACCCGCCGCACGCCTGACGGTGAGCGCCGCGCCCGAGTCCATCTGCGCCAGAGCCACAGGGGCCACCTCGCTGGCTCACCGCGGTGGCGAGGGAGACCGGAGTGTACACACGGGCACCCTGCCCTGGCGAGCCCAGCAGGGAGGCGGGCAGGCCCCACGAGAGCCACGCCCAGCCGCGGGAGGCTCTCCCAGCCCGCCTGCCTGGCTCGGACTCCGCTCTGGGACCGCGGCACCACGAAGAGCAGTGACGAGGGAGGACGGCCAGGAAGGCAGCTCACTCTCCAGCGCCCCTGGGGCCTCAGCAACGGAGCACCCCACGACAGGAGGCTGCTCCCAGGCCAGGTCAGTGGGAACAGGGTGGCGCTGGGGGCCCTGAGGAAGGCAGCCCTTGGCCTCCGGCTGCCAGCGCCGGGCGCTGTGCCATGCTTTCCTTGCTCGTGGCGGTGGGCGACCCGGGGAGGTGACCCAGGAAGGGCCTGTGGGGGCCCAGGTACCCTTCAGCACAGCCTCTGGCTGCTGGGCCCCATGGGCCCCCGTGTCTCAGCACCCCGCGCCCAGGACCACACTTCAGGCAGCCAGGCCCTGGAGGGGCAGCTGCAGTCACCCCATCTCGGGGACCGGTTGAGGAACACATGAGCTGGGGGCTGAGCTGGGGGCCGCTTCCTGCCCTTCGCCGCGAAGGAAGGCCTGAGGCCTGCGCCAGCAGGGACACGTCGGTGCCGCCCGGCAGCCTGCCCTCCCGCCTCCTGCTGCAGGGCCACAGCCGGCCCCTCAGAGGCAGCGGCCCCAGGCCCCGGGCAGCGCCATGCGTGTGTGCCCATGTGCGCGCAGCCTGCGGACGTGAGTGTGTCCACACGGAGTCTCGAGGGCCGTCTGGCGGCCCCGACCCACCCTCAGGGGTCGGCTATGCTCCACTTTACGTTCTACTCAACTTCTGTGTTTGGGATTTTTCTTTCCTGAAACATTTCTGTTCTGAGTAGACCTCGTGGTCCTTCCCGTAAAAGGTGGCCCTGTGGCTTCTCGTTGCCAACACAGCCCGTCCTCCTGGGCCAGGCGGGCCCACTGCAGCCTGCACCACCTCGCCTTGAGGCCTGGGCTGACTCTCGGGAGGACGCCGGCCGGCTCCCCACACTGCGTGCAGGGGCTCCGGGGACGACGGCAGGCAGCGGGGGCCCACGGTGGCCAGGCCATGTGGCCAACTTGACCAGATGTGGCCTGTGAGGCGTCGGCCCGACGCCTGGTGTCCCTTCAGCGCACCTGGCCGCACCCACCCGAGGGGGGCCCACCTGGCCTGGGCCTGCTAGAAACCCGACTGGACTTCCTCAGCTGCAAAGCTCGGACGGGGACCCGGCTGCGGGAGGGCGCTGGGCGGGGCGCTCCAGACCTGCCTCCCACACACTTGCGCGAACGCTCTCCACGCTCTCCACGAAAAGGGTGATTGAGTTGACGTCCCCAGAGGTCTGTGACAAACACAGGACATTTATCTCCACTGTTCACAGGCAGAGTTAACTCAAAAAGACAAGAGTGCAAACAGACGTGACAGACTCGTCACCTACAAAGGTGCCACTGTGCCTGTGGGCTCCCCGGTGTGCGCTGGGCCCTGGCTGGCTGAGGCAAGCGCTCTGCCCCGGGGCCTGTGCCCCCACAGGTGGCCAGTGGCCCGCTGGGAAGGCTTCTGGAGCCTAGCTCCCTACTGGCCGGCCTGAGGGCAGCTGTCAAACTCTGCTCCAGGCCAGACAACCTTCAAAAAGCAGATGGGTGTGGGCTCTGACCCCAGAGAATTATCACACTCGGTTATGGGTACCAAATCAGAAGGGGAGGGGACATGTAGAGAATAAAGGGGCCTGGTCCTGGAGACGGAAGGCTTCCCCCTCATCCCCCGAAAAGGAACCCCAGCAGAAGAGCAGTGTGAGAGCCCCAAGAACCACCAAGGCAGGAGGAATGGGGAGGTGGGGCCACCAAGGACTGCAGACAGACATTGCCCTAGCCCTGAGGTTCAGAACTCCAATGTGGTCACTGCATTTGGGGTAATCATGGCACTACTTAGAAAAGTGAGTTAATGGAAACCAAGGCAACAGCTAACTCCGGGGAAAACTGAAGTCTACAAGGGGAGGTCCCGTCCGCCTGAGGCCTGCCTGGGGGACACCCACAGTCTTCCCGCTACACACATCAACATCAGCCACAGGTGCTACTGCCGCAGCTGGGAGGGCAGAGAGGGCGAGGTCTCCACGCCCAGGGGCACAGGGTACACTCCCACCCCTGCCTGAAGAGGCTGGTGCAGACAGGCACCTCCTGGGACCAGGGCCAGAGGGCTGAGCCGCTGGCTCGGGCAAGCCCTGCAGAAGTGATGATGCCAGAAGCGTTGTCAATAAAACAAACCATTAGAGCCAGAGCCCTGCAAGGCTGCACCACCCCTCGAGGGGCAGGCTGTGTGAGGAGTGCCGGTGGGTGCCAGGGGAAGGTGGGTGGGCAGGCTCGCCTCCGTCCACTCACCCGGCCACACCCACCGCTCCAGGAGATGCTACAACCGAGCCCTCTTCTCAACCCACTCTTCCTTCTGTGGGTGTTTTGTGGGACAGTGGGGGCCGTGGCATGACGGGGCTGGTGTAGAGCAGAGGCATGGGGCCGGGTCAGGCAGGTGTCTGGAGGTGAGCCCACCTCCCAGAGGCATCAGAGACGGGGGCCTCAGGGTGGGTGTAGGGCAGGATGCGGGCAGGGAGGACGCCAGGTATGGGCCTCTCCAGCAGCAGCAGCAGCGTCTGGGGCAGGCCTCGGGGCGCCAAAGGACCTTGGACACAGGACACCGGCTCCCACAAGGCAGACGGACGGCGGTCACCTACCTGTGCACATAGTGAAGCTGGTGGATGGAGTCGATGGCCAGAACCATTTCCCCGATGTAGAACCTCGCCATGTCTTCTGGGAGCTTGTCTTCAAACTTGCTGAGCAGCGTCAGTAGGTCGCCCCCCACGTAGTAGTCCATGACCAGGTACTGCAGGCGGGGGGCGGGGCGTGGGAGACGACAGCACTCAGCGCTCGACCTCGGTCTGGAGGACGGCGGCACCATGCCGGGGGTGCCTGCTCAGAGCGGGCACCGAGGCAGACCTCGACACCCAGATGTTGCCCTGCGTCTCCAGCAGTAAGTACCTTTCACCAGAGGAAGACGCGGCAGAGGCCGGACGCTGGGGAAGGCGTGTGGGGGCACGGGGTGGGGGGCAGCCCACGGCTCAGACCCCCGCAGGCCTCACCGCACCAGAGAAGGGAGCTTCTCTGGACCCCACCGAACTGTCCCTCCTCGGTGGAGCTGACGCTGGGGGGGAGCGGCCTCGCGGCCTCCGAGGGCAGGAAGCCCTGGCACAGCTGGCTGGCTGAGGCCCAGCCCGAGGTGGCACTGGCCCGCTCAGGCGGGTCCCAGACAAAGGGGCAGCAGAGGCTCTGGGGGAGGTGAAGAAATAGGAAGTGGCCTGGAGGGGAGCCCCGCCCCGCGCGGGCGGCTGGAGGCGCGGAGCCAGGGAGGCGCGCTGGGAGCGTGGGCCCACGCAGCAGCGAGGGGCCGACAGCGTGGCGCGGCACCGGGCGCGGGAGGGAGAGGGCCTGCTGCCGCCACCCCGCACGTGCCCACACCCGCCTGGCACTCCGGGGAAAGCCGCAGCCCGTCGCCGGGGGCAGGGGCCAGGAGGCGACATCCCCCGGGACAGGCACTGCCGTGGGCCCGAGTCAGTGGCAGAGACCCTCCAGCCTGGAGGAACAGGCGAGCTGCCAGAGGAGCTGTGCTGCGGCCACAGTCCCGGGGCCGAGGGACCTGCCCAAATGAGGCACCCGTGGTGGGCAGGCGGGGCGCCCAGACCCCAGGCTGCCAAGAAGCCCGCCGAACCCCGTCTCTCCTTCACGTTGCAGCGCGTGCCACAGCCCCAAGAAGAGGCTTTCCGCAGGCTGCACCGCAGGTGTCTCACCTCAGAGCAGGCAGGGTGGCGCCCGAAGTCTCGGACACCAACAGGTCACACAAGAACACCCCAGAAAGGACAGCCGTCCGGGGTGCAGACCTGTGGGCCTGCTCCGCCCGCAGCCTGGCCCAGCCCTCAGCACAGGAAGGCAGGCAGAGCAGCCTCTCTGCGCACAGGCCTCAGACAGCAGGGCCAGCCCCACTCGACGCGTGACAGAGCCGGGGGACCAAAGTAACCCGGGCTCTGTGGTGGTCTGACGGCCACCGAAGGCAGGAGACAGCCCCTCCCGCCGTCCACCTGGACGGGCCCGCCCAACGCCCGCGGCCGCCTCGCGCCGCTCCCCGCAGTCCGCAGAGGCCGGCGCCGCCGCTCACCAGGTAGTTCTCGTCCTGGAAGGCGTAGTGCAGAGTGGTGATCCACTGGCAGTCCCCGTTCACCAGCACGTCGCGCTCCTCCCGGAAGCAAGCCGTCTGCGGAGGCAGCACCATGGCGCTGGCCCCGGGGCACACCCTCGCCCCCCAGCTGCCGGCCTGGCCCTCCCGTGCCGCCCCAGCCGGCACCGACTGAAAGGCAGAGCATCTCGCTGCGCCCCTCATGCTGCGGGACGCCCTCCGGCAGGCCTCGGCCCCTCCCCGCCCCTGCAGCGCCCCACGCGTCACACGCGCCCACGCCCACACCGGTGTGGGCCGTCGCGACAGCCGGCGCTCAGGTGACCCGGCTAGCCCAGGCTGCGGCCGCTGGGAGGCCAGGCCCTGCACCCAGCACAGCCGGCCTCCTGGGCGGAGGGGTGCCGCCCTCCGGTGGGGATCTACAGGGTAGGGCACCACTCAGGACCTGCGCGCCTCACAGGCCGCAGCCTCGGGAAAGAGGGGGCTGTGGTCTGCCACAGTGGGCAAGAAGCTTCCCTTCAGGAGGCCACAGACAGGGTTTCTGTTCCTCTTCCACAAGCGCGTGAACACACAGGAGCGCTGTGTTCACGGCCCCAGGCTGGCTCCGGACATTCACCCGCGTGACCCGGGCCCTTGTTCCCCGCTAGTGCTTTCGCTGAGGCCGCGCTGGTCCCACGCATGTGATTTAGGGGAGCAGGCTCACTCCCAGATGTCTGTCTCCACACCCACCGCCACCCCAGTCCCCACGCCCTTGGCCCACAGCCACAGGCCCTCCCCAGGACCCCAGCCCCCCACGCTTCTAAACCCCAGTGGAGATGCGGACACGGGGCTTCCGCCCACAGTACCCCGACACCGCGGCCACTGGCCCACAGCCCCGGGGGGGCCTGCCCACCGCCCCCCAGCACTGCGCCTGCACCTTGAGAAAGGCCCGGACAGGGAGGACGAGGCCTCCCTGCTTAAGAGCCTCTGTCTGGACCGAGAAGGCTGAGCCGACGGCCCAGCAGGGCGACTGTGAGCGGCGCAGCGGCCTCTTGCCGCCCGCCACGCTCCAGCCAGAACTGCACGTGCGCGGGGGAAGACGCACCGGGACCAGCGGGCACCGGCGCCCCGCACCCGGTGTGCCCCGTGTGTTTCGGCCCTTTGAAAACAAACTCACCACACAAACAGGACCCACTCCCAACAGGACACGTGCCGGCAGAGCGCGCGCCGGGGGGCGGCCCCCGGAGCCCCGACCCCAGGCAGCACGCGGGAGGCCGCGCAGGGAGGCGGACAGAGCGCCGTGGGGGCCGGGGCGCCCGGCACAGGGCCCACACGGGCGCCCAGCGGCACTCACCTCTGCGCGCTTGAGCATCTCCCACTTGTTGAGGATCTTCATGGCGTAGATGCGCTCCGTGTCCTTCATCCTGACCACCGCGACCTGGAACACAGGGAGGGTGAGCCGGCCGGCCGCCCCCACCGGGAGGCCTGGGGCGACCGAAAGTGAGGGCAGGTGTCCGGGTAGGGCTTCGCCCTCCTAAGCGCCAAAACCTATTTTTAGCCAAACTCACCTGCTCATTCGAAACACCTTTACTACCAAGCGAAGGGGGCGTGGTTGCGTGCGGCCTCGCCCTTGGGGAGTCTCCAGGGGCCGCCTGTGCGCCCCGCCCCTGCCTCGCTCGGCCATTAGAAAGCCAGACGCCACGTTTCGGCAGTGACACCGACCTCGGGCCCTCTCTGCCACCAAGGCAGGTAAGGAACCAAAGTCCCTCAGCAAATCCGTCGCGGCCTTCCAGCAGCCACACGCTGCCAGGGGCCTTCGGGGTGCCAGCCCCACCCCCGGGGCCGCCCTCTCTGGGCCCACACGGGGCTCCACGCCCGCGTCTCCGCGACGGAGGCAGCGGGTTCGCGGCGCCTGCTTTTTAGAACTACAAGATGACGACGGTCCCGGCAGAGCGTCCTCCCTGGGCTGAGGAGGGCTCCCCAGTAGCTCCCGCTGGGACGCTCCGCTCAGACCCAACGGCGGGGAGCCAACCCGCCAAGGTGGCGAGCCTCAGCAGGCCCGGGCCTCACCGCAGCCGCGCGTGCCCAAGCCCGAGTCTTGGGTCTGCCACGGGGGCAGGCCAGGGCCAGGAAGCAGGCCGTGCGTGAGGGAAAGAATGCCCCTGGAAGCAAGACACGGAGAACGCTCGGCGCACGACAGCACAGAAGCAAACCGCGATGCCAGCCTTCACGTGAAGCTCGCGAGCCGCGGCCCTGCGCCGCCGAGCGCTCGCCAGTGCACAGGCCAGAAACGAACCGGCGCAGGGCAGCGCCTGGCTCCGAGAACCTTCTCCCGGCCGACAGCTCGCCTCGCACCCGACATGACGGCGCGACCACCGCCCCGCGGCGGAAGGGGCACAGCTGCAGGGCTTCGCCACGCGGCAGGAGCCACTCTGGGATGGCACCGGTGGGCAGGGTAGGGCAGGGGCAAGGAGCCGTGGGCAGCAGGCGGGGGCGGGCCCAGCCGGGCACCCAGGGGCAGGAAGTGCCGTGCCCGGCAGGGCCCGCCCTGCGCAGGGCGCACGCTGCCTGCCAAAGGCGAGCCGGGCAGAGCTGGCAGAGCACCAAGCCGGTGCTCTCTGAGCCGTCCACATTCGGAACCATTCTGCTTGAAAGGGCGCCCAAATTGTTTCCTGTTTTAAGCTATTCTAGAATCCAGAGCGACGGCCTGCAGCTTAAGAGTGGGTGGAGGGGACTGGGGCCAAGCGCAGGCTGCTGCCACCCGGCCGCCAGGCCCGCACTCAGCCCGCCACGCAGCACCGCCGGGCGCCACTGGGAGGGGCCACCTGGGCAGCAACTTTGCGGGCCAGCTATGCCTGCGAACCCGCAGGGAAGGCAGTGTCCCCAAAACCGGTGTGCTCCAGGTGAAGGGTGCCACCCCACAACCCAACCTCTGCCACATTCACCGTCTCCACTCGGGGCACCTCTGCCATGAAGGCCGGTTCGAGTGCTCACTGCCAACAGCGTCCAGCTGTGCTGCCCAGCGAGTCCTGGACTCCACCCACCTGCTGAGGGGCAGCGGCCCCCGCGGTCTGAGTGCCTGGATGCAGACACACCCCACACAGAGCATCAGGTGGTGGGAGGACCTGGGAAGAGGCCAGGGCCGGGGAGCAGCGTCCAGGCCTGGGCACCCGGAAGGAGGCTCTCAGTTTGGGAGGAAGCTGGGAAGGGGTCCGGGCCACTTCTCTGGAACTCATCTCTTCCTCCAGTTTGCTCCTAGGGGCTGGCCCTCCTGCACCCCCAGGTGAGGCACAGGGCTCTGTGGCAGGGGCAGGTCACCCAGGGCTGGAAGGAGCTGGACCTGCCCCCAAAGAGCTCCCCACTCACTCAATACCGTGACCTCAGCTCATGCCATCACGTGGCCTGCCTGCTCTTTCTGTGCGGATCTCCAATAGCCAAAGTTCCTGGGGGGGCGTCAGGGACCCCAACATCTGTGTGGGAAGAGGGGACTTTCTTGGAGGCAGAAATGCTCCGTGTTGACACGGTCGTGGCCTCAGGAGTCACACACCCCAGCCAGCGCTTTGTGTGCGGTGGTTCTCAATACTGAGAGCCCCTAGCGACCCGGCCCCTCCCGCCCACCCTCGCCTGAATGTGGCTCGGAGCCCTGGGCCCAGAACCATTCAGAGGCAAACTGGGCCTGGGAGGTGCCATCACCCCCGACGACAGGGCGCCCACCAGCACCCCACCCCACGCCACAAGTCACTCAGCGCAGGAGGGAGGTACCAGTCGGGCAGGGCGGAGGGCAGAAGATGCAGGTGCCCCACAGACTGGGCTGGAGTCTGGCGAGGCCTGGGTGAGCTCCCAGGAAGGCGGGAACAGGCACCTCACCCTCCCGAGCGGGGCACAGGTACCCTCTACTCTCAGCATTTCCACAGGTACCTTTTCTTTTAGTGCATTTTACTGACGCCTGACAGACTGGGTGTCTGCAGGCGACAGAAGAACCAAGACACTGAGCTGTCTGAGGGACATCACAGGCCCTGGTCCTGCTCAGCCGCCGGGTGGCCAGCTGAGGGGAAAGCATGTCCGTGGTCACCGACACGGACACCCACACAGCACGGGGCTGCCTGGCAGACCCTTCTACGCACGGGGCAGGGCCTGGCACTGGCTTCCCACAGCCCCCACCACGCCCAGGCGCCAGCTGAGAGGAGCAGGAGGGCCCTGAGGCAGAATTAGCGGGTCTGAACTTGGGAGCCGGAGCCCTGCGCGCCCGAGTCCAGCCAGGCCCGGCTGGGGCGGCTCGCCGAGGCGCTGCTGGCCGCAGGGGCTGTGGCTCCTCCTCGAAGAACTGCCTGGTGGGAAGGGCCACAGGCCCCGGCTGGAGCCCCGCAAGGAAACAGTGGGAAACCGCATGGAGTCCGAGGCACAGCCAGGGGCTCACCCGGGGCCGCTGCCCAGAGAAGCCCCCGCTGGCCTCCTGCATTTCTCAGAAGAGGACTCCAGCTCTCAAACCCCGTGTCGAAACCTCTTTGTCTGAAGAAACTGTTCTGGCCCCAACCAAAGTCGGGGTGGTTCTCTAGCCAAGCAATCTTCGCTCTTCTCCTCTGGCTTGTCCCTGTCAGGCCGCCCCAGACGCTCCGGGTGCCAGCCCCGCCCAGCCCCACGGAAGGGCTCTCACCTCCCCGAAGGCGCCTCTCCCGATGACCTTGATGATCTCGAAGTCTTCTCTGTGAAGCTGCATCTCCCGCACCAGCTGCGCGAAGGGTTTGGCTGCAAATGTAAACGGCAAAGTCAAGCTCTGCTCTGCTGACACGACACAGCCGGGGCCAGCGGGGAATCCCAGGGCTCGTGGCCAGGGCTCCCTCTGCGCGAGGGCGAGGTGGGCGCACAGTGGCTGTGGCTGCCCTTTGCACCCGTGAAGCGCCCTGGCAGCACCAGGCAGCGAGCTCAGTTGCCTCCGGTCACGACTTGGCTTGGCACGCTGGCGGAACAGCCGGGCCGGGGCCCCCGGGGCTCTCCCTGAGCCCCCGTCGCCGGGGGACCCACTCAGCCTCCTCACGTCCGTCAGAGATCAGCCCCCTTCCTAGACATATTTGGCGAGGGCGACCTCCCCGGAGGGCGTGCCTGGCTGACCAGCGTTCCCCAAATTCATGGGTCCTTACGGATGTGAGCAAGCTCAGATGCGGCCGCTCGCAGGAAGGGGCGGGCCTCGCCCAACCGGACCTAGACATGGCACGCGGCGGGCCAAGGACGGATGGAGCGGCGCTGCCTGCTGGGGGCACCAGACCCAAGGCTGGGAGCAGGGGCCAGGGGGCCCGAGCCCCCTGTGCATGCGCTGCCACAGCGCTGGGACCCACTGCAGGGCGGCGGTGCAACTTCCAGCCCACGGCAGCAGCCTTAGGGCCAGGACCAGGCTCCCTGCATCCAGCCTGCCCACCACTGCCTGACTGCCCAAGCCCAGGGTCCGTTCAGTGACCCCGCACCCTGTTTCTAATGTTGCCTTCAGGCCCAAACCCACGTGCCTGTGATCACCCACTTTTGCAGAGATGTCCCTTTGGGACAGGCGCAGTGGGGGGCCTCCCTGTGCACCTCTGACACGACCCCTGCAAGCTGACCTTTCCTGGGCTTCTAGCTACACTCCGCACGGGGGCGCCACTGCGGAACTCGAGGGCCCCGGACCAGCAGCCGCAGCCCAGGCACCCGAGGCCCGCCCCTTCCTGCGAGCCCAGGCGCCGCTTGGAGCGGGCGCTTCTGGAAAATGGACCTTCTAAAGGCCAGGCTGAAGAACACCCCGGGGCCAGCTTGAAGGGAGTCTGTGCTTCCTCTGTTTCAAAAGCCACGAGGCAAGCACTCCCCAACCCCAACGGCAACGCGCATTTTAAACAGCCACGAAAGCCAAAGATTCTCGGCATCTTGTGGGGAGACCAAACGGTGCCCTTCATTTTACTAAAGAGAAAAACCACCCCAGCGATGGCTGTGCTGTCCCAGCTCACCAGCACTTGGGGAACAGGTCCTCCCGCGGGCCGCGCCCCTGGCCCTGGGCCGGCGCTCACAGCATCTTCTGGTCAGCCCCATGCACCGGCCGCCGGCCATGTCTCGGGTGTGCGCCACGAGGAGGACCCGCCCCCAGCCCTGCGGCCCGCCAGAGGGTGCCGGAGGCCGAGGCCCACCCGCTCCAGGACACGCCCGCAGTTCTAAACCGCATGTCCACGTGCCCAGATTGAAAGATGAACTGTCCTACAGTGCACGACCTGCAGTGGCCATTTTCAAGCACGCAGCCTTTTCAGTATTTTAAATTAATTTTAGGGTGAAGTTCCAGGGCTCTCCCCGGTCACCCTAGAACTATCCTCAAAACTGCGTCTCTGGAGTCGCTCCCACGGAGCCGGCCTCCCGCGCCCCCCGCTCAGCCCTGAGAGGACAGCCTGTGGGGTTCAGGGGTGCACCATCACCCGCGGGCGTGCTGCTGTTGGCGCTCATTGGACCATGGCTGTAACCCTCCGCTCTGCCGCCTCCTTCCGTCACAACCATGCCGCCTGCAAGCCCCAGGGAATGTCACCCTGAGTAAGAGCCGCTCTTGCCGGGAGACTGGACTCAGTGTCCACTTTCAGCGACTCTCAGAAGCCGGCCATAGGCCCTCCGTACGGCGTCAGAGCGGCCAGGGAAAGGCCCAGGGCCTGGTGCTCAGGCCCGCGGGCCTCCTGTGGCGACGCGAAGGGGAGCCCCCGCACCCCACCCACCTCCCGTGCCACGGCACCCATCCAGAGCTACTTCCTCCTCTGCTCCCTCCTGTTCTTTCAGAGAAGGCATTTTGTTCCTTGTGCGTTTTACAGAGTTCTGTCCAAATTCCCTGAAGTGGGTGGACACAGATTTGCCGGGGCCAGTCTGATCAACGGGAACGGTGGAAACAAACCCAAGGAGTGGCCGGGGAGCTCAGGGGTGCGAGATCAAGCGCAGCTCGACGACGCGTGCAGGCGGTCTCCCGGGCAGAAGGCACCAAGGGGCCCAGGAGGAAAAGACTGCTTCCAGGCGCCCAGGGTCCAGACCTCTGGGGACAGAGCACAGCCACTGCCCGGAGCGACATGGAGCCGAGGGCCCAGCTCCAGGCAGGGAGGCTGAGGGCTGCCGGGGGCCCTGGGCCTGCAGTCTCTGAGAGCCCAGAGACAGAACCACAGCTGCGCTCCAGCTCCCGGGACACAGAAGAGTGAGCGACGGAAACTAGCGGCTACCTAGCAGAAGTAGGCGAAGGGGGACACCACGTGGCTGTGGAGAGGGCAGCTGCCGAAACCTGAGGCCCACACCCACAGGAGGCACGGAGTTTTCGGAGAGCTGAATGCAGGCGCCTGGCAGCAGGCGCCAGGGGGCGCCAGAGAGCGTGCAGGCAGTGCCTGCGGGAGGTCTCATCCTCCCTCTTCACCCGGAAGGGGAGCACACCCACCCACACCTGCACCCCCATGCCCACACACCTGCACCTGCACACCTGCCTGCACACCCACAGTGCACACCTATGCACGTACGCCCATGCACACTGCACCCACACCTCTGCACACCAACACACATGTCTGCACACCTGCACCCCTGCACACCCACACACGAACACCCCTGCACACATGTCTGCACACCCACACACACGGTCACGCATGCACACCGCACACACCCCCTCTAGAGTGCCCTGGGCAGGAGGCCACGGGCTGGCGCAGGCTCCCACTCTCCGTGCAGGGTCTCCACTGGTCTCTCAGTGGCCTGCCACTTCTGGTTTTGAGCTTCTAGAACTGTAGGAAAGAACAGTACTGGGAGGGAGGTGCCGAAGCGCACAGGCCTGGACGAGTACAAGCTAAGAAGCAAAGGTGGCACCTCGCGGGTCCTGGCTGAGGCCTGGGAGCAGATCCCACAACATGCAAGAGAAGTGCCCTACTCGAGGCAGATTTCGCAGTGTCTGCGGCGCTGCGAGGCCACAGCCTCTGTCCAAGCCACTTCCTGCAGACGCTAGGCTGGCTGGCACGTGGACAAGGTTGGGAAGGGGCTGGCCTCTAGGATATTTACATCCTGGGGTGCATAGACAGCACCCCTTTCACTTCTGCGGGGCTCTGCACTAGCTCAGGCCCCCGCCTAGCCCAGAGCAAGACTTCCAGCAGAGCTGGCCACTCTCCTCCCGACCTGACCTCGCGGCCCAGCGCATCCTGCTTGACACAGACAGACCTTCCAAGAGGGTCTCGAGACCTGCTGCGGACAGTGCTCCGGGAGATGCGGGAACTCAAGGCCGGGCACAGGACCAGGGGCTGCAAGCGGCCAGGAAGTCCGAGGGGCGCCCACGCTAATGTCACCAGCCACCCAGGGCTCGTGGGCAGGGCCCCCAGCTGTGCAGGGCACGAATCTCCCAGCTTGAACCCAAGCCCTGGGCCTGGAGGCAGATGCCACAGCCTCTCCCCAGCACTCCCCCGCTCCACCCACACCGCAAGGTCTGGCCCGTCGCCCACCCCCACACAGGAGCCTCTGGAACTGCAGGGAGAACCCCAGCAAGGAGGTGGGCTTGATGGAGGGCAGGTCATGCCAGCGGAGAGGTGGAGACGGCAGCTGGACACTCCCCGCCCGCTGGTGCCCCACCCCGCCAGTACCACGCTGTCCGGTTGCCCCCAGCGCCCCCTCCGCCAGGCCTCTGCCCACCCCTCCACCAGCAAATCTCACCCACTCGGGCCAGGTGGCCCTTTCATCTCCACAGACAGCTGCAGCCACCCCAGCACAGAAAGGGGGGCACACGGGGGCGCTCAGGCCTGACACCCTGGGTTTCAACTCGCAGTAGGAAACTGAACAAAGCACCAGCTACTGCGGACAAAAAGCCACTGACGGGAACCATGACACGGGCACAGGGTGAGAAAGGGCCAGGCCCGAAGCACGGGCCACTGCGGTGCTGCACTGGAGGGTCGCAGCAGGTGTCCATACAGTGGTCGTGACGACACCAGGCCACTGCACCGTCCAGACGCAGGATGGCACGGGTAGCCCCAGACCCCAGCCTGGCAGCGGGACAGCAGGCCCACAGCCCGCCACGCCCAGCTCTCAGCGGCGGGTGGAGAACACCTCCGTGACGCCGCGAACCCAGGGACAAGCTCCCAGGTGTCCCACTGTTAGCCCAAAGGGCTCTGTGTCCGCAGGGCCTCTGGGCAGACAGTATGGGAGTGATGTCTACGGTCAAATTTGGCCATCAAGGAAAATGCTGGAAGTAGTGCCCCAGGAGGCAGCCGGACAGGCAGGGCCGGGCCCTGGGCGAGCAGCAGGAGGGGGCCTCAGCCCAGAGCCTGGGAAACTGCCTGGAGACCGGGCAAGGTCGGTGCAGCCTGAGGGCGAGGCCCCCAGCCTGTGTCCTGCTGTGGCGGGCCCTACCTTCTGGGGTGCATCTGGAATGTTTACAAATGAGGTGGCAGGGTCTGGGATGGCCCCAGAATGGCCCTTCCTGGGGAGCGGGGTTAGGGAGGACGGGGGCGGGGGCTGACAACCACCGAGGGCCACAGACAACACCAGACCCCACACTGCTCCGGCCTCCCCGTGGCCTGACATGTCCTGTGGTGAATCGCACACCGAAACAATACCGGTTGCCGCTGCTCACTGACACTGGAGAGGAAGAGGCAGGAAACCAGGCAGTGGCTGCCACCGAGCGGGCCTGGGCACGCTCGCCCGACGCCCCAGACAAGGCTCCTGGTCCAGCTTCCTGAGCCAGCACCCAGCCAGGGAGCGGGGCTCCGAGTCCTGCAAGCCCCAGCACTCGCTCCCTAG